GGTCGCACTTGCAGAGGCAGAAGTGGGGTGCAGAGGGACCAGAGTTCCTGAGGTCTCTGACAAAGCTGACCATGACCAAGACAGAGGGCAATGACCAGCACTGCCTGCACTCTCCAGTGTGGGTGGAGACCAAACCAAAGGCCCCTGACTCATGGGTCACCCCCCACGCCCGCCCTAAAAATACCAGCTCTGGCCTCTGAGTATGACTCCTCGGTGACAAGACTCCCACAGCACCCCTCCCCTTGTCCTCCCCCCACACACATCCATCTGCCTGGACCCCCAGTTTGTCCACCCGTCGGTGCTCAAGGACACAGGGACCAGCCTCGGGGTAAGGTCCTCAGGAAGAGAAGAGCTCCCCAGGAAGGCAGCCCCAGACAAAGAGCCAGCAGTTCCCCAGGCCAGTCATCCATTCCTCTAGGAAAAGTGACTGTCCTGGGCCGGTCATGGGGAAAAACATGGAGAACTTCCTGCAACTGGCCGTGGAGGCTGCCAACATCTGTCTCTAGGCTGGGGAGCTTCTCCCTGCTTCCCTGTGCCTTCTTTGGGGCAACCCTCCAGAGGACTCCAGACACCCTCCCTTCAGAGAAGAACGGGAAAGGAGGGCAGTGGTGCCGCTCTAGAAGCAGGGAGGGTGGGCACAGGAAGACATGGCCCACCAGGAAAAGCTCAGAAACTGCTGGACGCCCAATCACTGGGCTACAGAATTTTCAGAGCTGGAAGAGGACACCCTGAGGCAGCAGCCAGTGCAATCCCTTCATGCAATCCCTGTATGGCAGCTGGGATGCCAAAGTCAGCAAACTAAGAGGCCTGCCCAAGGTGGCACGGATGGCAGTGAGGCAGAGGGGAGGGGCCCGGGTCTTCCGGTGGCCAGCTGCGCTTCTCTGCCTCACCACCCTACTACCCTGTCTCTTTCCTTCCCTCTCTCCCCCAGAGTGGTCAGGTGAACGAGGAGGGAGCAAAGAGCAGGTAAGAAAGGAAGGACCTGCATCAAGCCTCCTCCCCACTGCTGTGAAAGCAGCCATCTGTAACAACACCGGGAGGCAGCGTGCTCCCTGACCCTGAGGGTGGGGATCAAGTGGAGGCTGGATGATCACCTGCTGGGGTGCTGGGTGCTGTTGAGGGAACTTGGGCCAGATGTCCTGTGTGCCCCTCACAGGTAAGCTTCCACTATTCTAATCCAGGATGGAAAGAGGTCTGGGACAAAGCAAAGGATGACGTCCGAGAGGACACGGCATGGCCCATTGGTGGCAGAGGGTCGATGGCAAGTTTTCCTGAAGCACGGGAACACAGACCATCCTCATCTTCTATTAAAATCCCTTCAATGCCCTTGTGATCATCACCATTCACAAGGTCAGCAGTGGCATTTACTGATGGCTTACCCTGCACCAGCCCTGAGCTGAGTGCTTGCACGCACTGTCTCATTCATTCGCCCCACTCTAGCACGGGGGGCACGGAACCTTACAGGTGAGGAAGCAGAGGCAGCACCCACCCAGGAGTGCCCAACTCGAAAGGAGGGGCTCCACACCAGGGGTTCTCAAAGAGCCGCCCGGACCAGAAGCAGCATCTCCAACACTTATTGGATCAGACACCAGGGGCCACAGCCCAGAGATCTAACAAGACACCCAGGTGGTGCTGAAGCCTGCTTAAGTTTGCCAACCAAATGGTCTAATCACTTCCCAATGCTGCCCACAGGGAAAAACCAACACGTCTCTACCTGGTAGTCAAGACCTTAGGGTTTTTCCTAGCCCAGCTGGTCAGCTTCCCCAACCCAGCAGAACCTTACCCCACATCTGCTGCTCAGCCCACCAAGTTCCAGAAGGGGCTCAGGCCCCCTCTGCACCTCATCATCAGGCCTGGCCTTGGACTCACCTCTCTCCAGAAGCCCCCAGCCTACCTGGCACCTGCAAACTGCTCCGCGCGACAGTCAGACTTACTGCCGGGCACTTGCTGGCACACAAGGGCTTCCAGACAGCACTCTGGGCACCTTCCTCCCCATTTACTACAAGCTCCTCAAGGGCAGGGCCAGTCCCTATGCACCTGAGCATCGGGGCATATTCACAGCACCAGGCACAAGGGCCATCAAGAAATGTTTGCTGCCCTAACTGGTTTGGCTCAGTGGATAGAGCGTCAGCCTGCAGACTGAAGAAATGTTTGCTGACTGTAGAGAGGGATAAAGGGTGATGGGAAAGATTAAATTTTTTAAAAATGAAAAAAAAAAAAAAGCCTTGGGAAGAAAAGTTCTGGTTCTCATTCCAACTCTGCCACTACCCCTCTGGGGCAAGTGCTTTCCCATCTCTAGGCCTCGGTTTCCCACCTGGGAAATGCACCATTTTCCTAGTTTCTTCTATTCTACTCCCCCATTGAACAAAGCCAGCAGAGCCTTACCCTAGACCCTCTTATCTATTATCAGGGATGCACACATGAAACCAAAGAGGCCCCTGCTCTCACTCTTCTCTTCTAGGAAAAAGAGAAAGACGACAAACTGAAATTACTATATGCCAGACACTGAGTTCTATACATAGACTTTCTCATTCACAAAAAAATAAGATTATTTCAAAGGATGACAACTGCATAAAAAAAAATACAACAGTTTTATTACTGAAAGTGAAAAAAGGGGCTACTTTGCATAGAAAGGTCAGGGAAGGCCCCTCTGAGGAGGTGACATTTGAGCTGAGACTTGACAAATAAGGAAGAACCAGCCATAGAAAGAGCCAGAGAAAGGAGTTCCAAGCAGAAGGAACAGCATATACAAAGGCCTCAAGGAAAGGCCAAGCCTGGCAGGGAAGACAAGCAGGGGCCATGGCTACACCGCAATGAGAGCAGAAGTAAGGTAGTACCCAAGGGACTCAGAGAGGAAGGCAAACAGCCTCTTACAAGTCTAAGGTGCTCAAATCAGGTCGGCCCGACCCAACCCAGGACATCCGGGCCCAAGTCACAAGCAGCACTGGGGGTAAGGGTATGAGTCAGACCCCACGGCTTCCTGGGGCCCCAAAGGACTGGTGTGGGCATAGGGGCAGGCACCAACCCTCAGCATGAGTGCCATGCCATACCCACGGGACACCCACGGGTGGGGGGAAACAGGGTCACATAAGTATGTAGAACACAGGACTCTCACGGCTGCCGCTTTCAGAGGGACATGATCAAGTGCTTCCATGAAGCGCCAGTCCCCGATCACATTATTTTCCCAGGACACAGCAAGGACAAGAGCCTTGGTCAGTGGAAAAGGAATAAGATCCAGGGTTCAAAGCTTACTAGTTTGGGGCAAGTCTTCACCTTTTGGACCTCAGTTTCCTCACCTGACAACTGAGGCTACTAACAGTCATGATCTCGTAGGATGGTTGAAAAATTAAATGAGATACTGAATGTAAAGCACCAGGCCTGGCACATGGTAAGTGTTCATAAATGTAAGCTGTTATTATTACCAGTACTGGTTGTTCACTGCCTCAGTTCCCTCTGCTGTAAAATAGGGATACTGATACAACATCATAGGATTGCTATAAGTCTGTACTAATAAATATTCCAGCTTCCTAATGCAATATCCATTGTCGGGAATTAAAGAAAAAAATGCTGAGAGTCCCCTTTCTGACCTCTCATCAGATGCCGAATTCCCCTCTACCATACCCCACTGTTTGGAAAGTGAGTAAGTGCTGCTTAAATTCCATTTTGACTATACTGTGAAATAAAAATGATGCATTTGGAATCCACAGCTTCCCCTGCGCTGTCATTCTGCAAGGGGGTGGGGATGGATGTTGCAGATTCTTCCGCATCGTCCACAAAAGTCCCGCCCTCCCAACCAAAACACAATCTGTTGCCCAGTCACATAAACACGTCTATACACACGATTAACGAATATATAATGCCATCGCTTCCATACGCATCAATGTATGCACACAAATGTCGGACAGTGGAAAAGTCACCCATACGGAGAAACTCCACTCACAAAATCATTCCAGAAACTCACTCACTGATACCCCGCACATGCACGCCGATGTAGTCTCCAACACTGTGCAAATATGGTCAACAGTAGAGCGGGGGACTCGGAGACAAATGCCAGCTTTCAAATCCTGCAACCCCCTAGCTGTGTGACCCCAGTCTCCAAGCGCCTCGGTTGGGAGCAAAATGGGGACAATAATACTAATACTCATTTTGAAGAGGAATGTTATTTTCCTCTTCATTACCCATGCACACTGCTTTCAAAACTGGCCTCCCCCAGCGATTCTCAACCTGTGGGTCGCGACCCCTTTGGGGGTCGAACGACCCTTTCACAGGGGTCGCCTAAATACGTCCTGCATATCAGGTATTTACATTACGATTCAAAACAACTGGCAAAATTACAGTTATGAAGTAGCAACGAAAATAACTTTATGGTTGGGGGTCACCACAACATGAGGAACTGTATTAAAGGGTCGCGGCATCAGGAAGGTTGAGAACCACTGCGTGAGTGTAAACAGACTCAAGCTCACGCGCTCTCTCCACCGGCTGGCGCACACCGCCTGCAAGCCCGGCACTGGCCTGCACCGGGTTTCTAGACACGCGCGCCTACGCAGTGCGCACGCGCACCCACCACCCTCCGCGAGAGGAGGCATTCCCCACAGAGCCGGAGCCCCCAGGAGGCGCCCCGCGACCCGGGGCCTCAAGCGCCATTGCCCCGGAGCCGAGAATCCCCGGCCACCTGTCGGGGCCTGACCTCCCACTCCATGCCAGGCCGCTGCCGAGGCGCTGAACGGCCGGTCTCGGAGTCCCTTCCTCCCCCTCCATCCCCGCTCCGGCCCGGCCGGCTTACCTGAGGGTGAGGGCCTTGAGGGACAGCGCCCTCTCTCCGCGCCCAGCACGGGCTCCGGGGACGCTCCAGGGACGGGGTGGCGGGGTAGCGGCCCGGGCGGCACACCTCCGGCTCCTGGGAAAGGGCTGGGACGAGGAAGTGCCGGGGGCCGGGCGGCCCCACCCCTGGGAAAGTCCCCGGAGATTGACAGGCCTGTCGTCCAATCGCGCCGTGCTCTACGGGCGGGCCCGCGGCTGCTGGGGTGGGGCCGGGCGAGGTAAACAGCCCGAGCAGCTGCCGAGCGGCCGCGGGTATCCGTCCCTCGGGCCGGCGACGCCCCGCGTCTGGGCAGCTCCAGACGGCGTTCCCGGCGCCGGAAGCCCCAGGCTTCGGAGTGAGGCTGCGGCCACTTGAAAGCCCAAACTACCGAGCGGAGACGAACCGCAGAGACCACCCACAACTTCCTGGGGCCGAGGGGCACCGGGCCAGAGCGAGGAAGGAACTTGCCGAAAGGCACGTAGCGTTTGTAGCTCAGTCCGAGCGGCTGCTCAGGGCCCCGGCGATCGGGGGCTGGGCGCTCCCGGACTTGTGAGCAGAGCTCATAGAAATTCCGAGCTGGAGGGACCCTGCAGGACTCTCACTGTTGCTGCTAACATGCACTGCTCCAGACACTGTAAGCACTTTGCACGCACTACTTCAATTTACTCGGCCACCCTAATGAGACGGGTTTTGTACACCTTATTTTTTGTACACCTTATTTTATTTTTAATTTTTTACCATAAATATATGAAACACAGAGTATATCTTACAGTAGGTGGGCCAGGGATTTCCCAGATGCATAAGGAGCAGTAGTTTGGCATAAGGTTGGGAACACTGGTCTTTTTAAGGTCATAATTTTATTCTACAGAGGGTAAGTTTAATTTCAGAAGGGATTTGAGGAGCTGTTTCACACAGGCACTCATTTTACAAATTGAGGGATCTGTCAATCAACTGATTCTGTGCGAACACATACACAAGCATATGCCTAATCCAAGCATTCTCCTTTCAGGCTCGGGATGCCTTCAGTTACTTCAAAGGTGTTATCAAATTCTCAAACAGCCCTGGCTGGTTGGTTCAGGGTGCGTGCCAGAGGCACCAATGATACATTGATGTTTTTCTCTCTGCCTCCCTCCCTTCCATTCTCTTTTTTAAAAAAAGAAAGAAAGAATATCCTCAGGTGAGGATTTTAAAAAATAATAATTCTAGTTCATTTTAATTATGAAAATAAATACACATATACCCAGATTTTGAAGGGAGGGAGCCAAGGAATGCAAACACCAAAGCACCTTTGAGTGTCACCAAGAGGGAGGTTACAGGGAGATTAGAATCTATAAGGCAGCCCTCAGGCATCACCTCTACCCATTGGGTCCCCACACCAGTCTCCTTCCTGTTCTTCATCTGTACACCCCAATTGCCTCTTCTTAGAATGCTCTCTTCCTAAGCCCAACCTCTCTTCTCATGAACATTGACATTTACTTTAAAAAGAGAGAGGAGAGAAAGACAGAGAGAGAAGGGTCTTCAACTATTTGCATTTTGTTTCCAAACTATTTCAGCTTTTTTTGTAAAAAGTCCAACTGAACTTAGAGAGTTAGGAAAATAATTCCATTCCCTAAAATACCAGACGACTGCTAGGTGGGTTTTTTGGGACAATGCTCTAGTATGACATAAAAAGGTTACATAGTCATCTTGTTGCCTGTATTCCTACTTTGGGATAATTTTTCTGAACAATTACAGCGTGTGAGAAAACTCATCTCTTCAAAGTCATGACCGTACCCACCCCTTCCATCCTTTTTTAAGTCTTTGTTGGACTTCAGAACATCCTACCATGTTAGAGGCCATGGGGACCACTGATCACAATCTCTTACTTGATGGGTAGGAAAACAGAGGCTTCAATGTAGTAAAGGACTTGTTAAAGGCCACACGTGTCGAGTGATGCAACCAGTGTTGGAACTCAGGACTGGGGCTCCCCAGCATATGTACACTTTCCACTGCACCATGTTGCCTTTACAGTGTCATGATTTTTCGTACTGTCTTACAGAAACTCCACGCATTATGAACACAGACTATGAATTTAACTAGTGGGGTTCTAACCCTACTCAACCACTTGCTACCTGGGTGGCCTCTCTAAGCCTCAGTTCCTCTCTGAATGTAGAGATGATCATTGTACCTACCCCTCAGATGATCCTGAGGATAAATGAGATAATGCGAGTAAAGTCCAAAGCTTGGCACAAAGAAGGCATTTGAGAAACGATAATGACATGTAGACATGGGTTACATGCATTGGGTAGACCGTCACAGTTAAACTCAGGAATATAGTCTCCCCAGTTGCCAGCCATCATCCACATCCACGATAGGGCCCTAGACCGGGGGCCTGGCAGGGCGGGAAACAGGTCCCCTGGCCTGTCACTTCTGCTTCTCCCAGATCTGGAAGATTTCCAAGTCAGGACTTCATTGACTTCACAATGGAAGCTAAGCGACTCAGGCAGCTGGGAACCTCTTGCTCTTCCAGAGTGACAACAAGCACCTGTGCAAAGCCCCGCCTGGGAGGACAATCAAAAGGCCTGTGTTTTATTTTGCTTTGTTTTAAAGCACACAGATTCCTAATCTCCTTTCTGCCACTCCCTCCCCTCCTCCACCAAAGCTGTTCCAAAGTCAGACCTAAATCCACATTTGAGGAAAATAAAAAACATACCCCAAAGAAAAAAAAAGTTGGAGGGTCACAGTACTGTATATCAAACTATACTACTGTAATCAAACAGCCTGGTACTGGCATAAGAACAGTCATATATGCCGAAACCGGTTTGGCTCAGTGGATAGAGCATCGGCTTGCGGACTGAAGGGTCCCGGGTTCGATTCCGGTCAAGGGCATGTGCCTGGGCTGGGAGATGTGCAGGAGGCGGCTGATCGATGTTTCTCTCTCATCGATGTTTCTGGCTCTCTTTCTCCCTCCCTTCCTCTCTCTGTGAAAAATCAATAAAATATATTTAAAAAAAAAAAAAGAACAGTCATATACATCAATGGAACAGAACAGAGACCCCAAAAATCAACCCACGCCATTACGGTCAATTAATATTTGACAAAGGAGGCAAGAGCATACAATGGAGTAGAGACAATCTCTTCAATAAATGGTGTTGGACCCAGCCGGTGTGGCTCAGTGGTTGAGCACTGA